CTCAGAGATTATGAATGCCTGCCAGGCATGTGGTAAGTTCGTGACGGAGAATAGACAGGCTGGCATAACAGCATTCCAACGCAATATGTGCGACTTCTTGGTACGGCGGTTCTTGATCCCTCTCCACTGCCCCTTCGCCAATGAGGCGCGTTCCAACCACTTGTTCCATTACTCGCAAAAGGTTACGGTAGATGCAGCTCTAGCTTTCATGTCACCAGAACCCGACGACTATTTCTCTCGACTCATGGCGACTGGCGGAGGCATGTATCGAGAGGGATTTAGGTGTGCAGTAGCTGCTATAACCCTCGAGCTCCTTGTGCAAGCCCAGGCCCAGCGCGACGACGGCACCTTTCAAACCAGCACGAAACAATTGGACTTCCTCAAGCAATCCTTCAATGACTTCGGTGCACTGTCTTGGGAGCGTATTCGGCAAGGCGAAACCAATATCAAAGGCCCTATGTTTCTGGATATAGTCCTCGCTGTGGTGAACTCGCCGGACAAGGATGACCTCTGCGAGTTGTCAATGGCTAAGAACGCAAGAGACAGCCTCATTCTCTGTCATCACATCCTAGAAACCCGAGCGAAGGCTATCGCTTTGCCGTCTCCTAATGATGGCAGTTTGACATCCTCAAGTCTTGATGGCGACCAGGATGGTTTTGGGATGGACTTCAGTTTGGACTACTTCTTCCCTGCTGCGGGTGAATTGTGACATATCATCCACCTCTGTAACACATACCTTGCCACGCATCTTAAAATAATAATTGTGCATGTACTTCTTATTAGACTAAACCCTTGGCTAGTAAGCAACAGCGATACCTTTTGTATACTAGATATTAGACTAGCTGCGCCAAACCAGAAAAATAATAGAAGGAAAACCGGTATATATAATTAAAATACTAGCTATGAAATTTAGCTGGTTCTGCATTTTTATGTGCCTATGGCATCTATAATTTGTATAAATATTGGCTGCCGGTTGGCCAGGTTGTGCCTGAGCGCCTTACTAGAATGGAGATTCCATGCTACCCTGTAGAAGCCTTCAGTTGAAGACAGCGGACGGACATGCGGGAGGCAACCGAAGCAATTCTCGGACACCTCTCGGTTTCCGCAAACAAGATCATACGAGATGCCAATTGAAACAGTCATATGTGACTCAGGAGCTCGGGGGTCTGCTTCGGTGAATTCGCGGTCTATTCGGCTGTATCGCCTTAAACCAGAGACGACACCATTCACCACACAGACATATCAATACAGCATCTTTTAATATGCCGAAATGAATTTATGGGTTCCGAAGCATTACCCAAGTTATAAATGATACTTATTCCTGTTGGACTCTTCTTTAATAAACTTGAAATTCATGCTTTCATTAGGCAAGACGAGTTAGCAACATCGGGCGACAATACACAACATCGAATAAGTTCCAACCGGGTTTCCTCCCAAACTTAGAAGGCCACGAATGATAACAAGACTAACATAATGCCGGCCCTAAGGGTTCTGATCAGCGGCGGCGGCAGTGAGTAAATCTCGGAGCTATTTTGTTCACATTGTGACAACTCCAAAATCTCCTTTATGGGATAAGAGAGTGTCTGGAAGCTTTGGAAACACTCGCAAATCACATGCCTAAAGTATTGATAACTGACTCCGAGTGTTGCAGTCGCTGGCAACGCGCTCGCCTTCTGGTTATCAAAGATAGGCCATGACATCACCGTAGTGGAGCGGTTTCCCAGTTTACGGGATACCGGTTTACAACTCGATCTTCGAGGCCACGGCATCACGGTCCTGAAGCGTATGGGTCTACAGGAGGCCTTTAAAGCTCAAGTGGCGCCAGAGACGGGGGTTCAACTCATCGATAAGAAAGGCCGACGCCGTGCCTATTTCCCCATGACTGCACCTGGGGAAGGACTACAAAATTTCACTACCGAGTTTGAGATCATGAGGGGCAACTTGTGCCGTTTATTGCACGACGCCGCCGTTACATGTGGCACGAGGTTCATTTTTGGAACATCCATTAAAAGCCTCGAGAATAATGACAGTTCTGTGGCGGTACAGTTTGCCGATGGCAAGACGAATTCATTCGACTTAGGTGAGCTATACCCGGACCTAGCTTAAATCTTTTTATTATTTTGTAGTCCTCACATTATGCTCTTTTATGCCGTATGAAATATACGACACCCTTCATCAGAGACCAAGGTTTCACTAACACAGGGCTTTGACACAGTGGTTGGCGCTGACGGGGTTCACTCCTTCACTCGGAGGTTGATGGTTGGGCCGGACGTCGATGATGGGCTCCGTCCGCTCGACGGCATGTTCGTCGGCTATTTCACGATGCCCCGGCCGATGCAAGAGGGAGAGGAATACTGTGCCAGCGTTATGTTAGCACCGGGAAACAAAGGGTTTATGGTTCGGAGGTCCGATCCCGCTTTTCTTCAAGTGTACGCCGGCGGCAGGACCGACGCCTTTAAAGACGTTACCCGAGGCGATGTTAAAGCTGAGAAGGCCGTCTTGACGGATATGCTGAAAGGCGCGGGGTGGGAGACTGACACATTTTTGGCTGCCATGAACACGGACAACGATTTTTACCTCGAGCGCATGGCCATGGTGAAGCTCGACCGCTGGTTCCGTGGTCGCGTCGTTCTTGTCGGCGACGCCGCCTGGTGTCCGACGGCGAACACGGGTATGGGTACGACCTCGGGCATAGTCGGTGCTTATATTCTTGCCGGCGAGATCGCGAAGCACTGCGGGAGAGGCACCACGGAACCAGGAAAATCTAAATCCGAAGCCGACATTGCCAAGGCTCTCGCTACATACGATGCTAAATTCCGACCTTTTATGGACCAGGTGCAGAAAGGGATCGCCGAAGACAACGGGTTTTTCGGATCCTCGCTGATGTCGTCCTCACTCGGTATTTCTTTGGTACACTTCATGGCCGGCGTGGCGTCCTTTTTCAAACTCAATCTCGGCGCGATGATGCTGAAGGAACAAGTGAAGGACTGGGATCTCCCTGACTACAAGGAGCTATCATGAGCATGGATAATAGATATGTGAGCGACATAACCTAACCACCTTTCTGAGCAGTCAGGGACTTCTCTACTCGGGCGATTAGTTGTAACAATAGATACCTACCTATATACCACGGAAGGCGATATGTATAATAATGACAACCCTCTTAGACAGTTCTTAGTTGGCTTTGGACCTTACCTATGAGTTTGCCTATCCGTATGCGCGGTCGTGACCAACGTGCTTGTTTATAGATAGACATGTTAGAATGATAGGCAATTGTGAAATTTGTTATTTAATAAAGCTAAAAAAAAATTAGGAAAAGACTTCAAGTACTGATGATGTTAACATCGGTGCCCTCCTTAGACCTAGCTGCCGTAGGGTTCTTCCTGCTTTCGCAGCAGCAGCATTAGTAGCTAATGCTATCGTGTGGCTAAGCGATATAACAAAATTGCATACGGGCTTGCGCTCCAGCCAGGCCTTCTAGCGGAGCATGTTCTTTCTATTCAGCTAAAATAAATTAAGCTCTTGCATACGGGTAGTAGTCATACTCGTATGATAAAAATATACATGATAAGCAACATCCTGATTCCTATATTCGCGACCTGGTCCCTGGTACGTGTTATAGTTAACAAATTCGAATTCAACCAACTTCTTGAAAATAAAAGAAACTAAATACCTAACCATGGTGAAATATCGCATGTGTGTGCAACCATGTATAGCCTGTTTTCTCCTTATTAATACTTAGAATAGGTATTGTTGTATTAGTTTAGGCCTATCCCGCTGTTCACTCGCTTCATTTCAGTACAGGCCATCTCAAAATCAAATTCTCGGAGCACGTATACAAACACAAATGTAGAAGCATGTGGTTTTAGATCAATCCTCTTAGAAAGCCTCCAAGTGTGACAATAGAATTAGAGTTAATTGGTCTTTGTTAAGGGCCCTATATGTAAGGAAGGCAAAAGATTCTTGTTGTTGCGCGAAGGTCTCTAAACACCTTCGTAGAACTACTCGGACTATATACAAAGGTCTCTTTGTGTGGACCTCATAACAGTAACTAAAATCCAAATAGGTTATGCTGTTAGAATCTCTACATGGGCAAAGTATTTTCACTATAATAATCTAATAAGTCGAGTAATAAAAGTTAACGATCCTTAAACCCCTAAGTCTCTTAAATTCAAACATGGGCTAGAGTTTCTTGTACTTTTTGGATCAACGCTTTTATTAAAAATTTCCTTTATGTAAGTAAGTGTCGACCATGGTTTGAAAGAGGCGGGAATAATCTACTCCTTGCCGTTTAAATCTCGACTTAAACACACCATGTAAGGTGGCTTTGTACCGTTCCCAGTAATTATTTGGAATAGAAGCCCGCCGTATACGGTACCAGTCCACAATATAGCCCTACGCTTCAAGTTGCCGCGTATAAATAGATCTAAACTTGTGGGTTTAAGAGTGGAATAAGGTAGAAGAGCCGTTAAGTAGCACGTTCATTTTAACGGCCAGCAGACCTACACACATATACATCGGCTACATATATAGGTATTCTAGCGCTGCAAGCTTTCCTTTTCCCCGCCTCCTACCTAGGCGTGAATAGGGGGCGAGTAAGAGAAGTTTAGTTTTTCGGGGATAACGGGCACAGAAAAGCCAGCGACGCTAGAACATGGCCGTACAGCTATAAAGTATATCCGAAAGTTTAATCAAAAGTTGGCTATTGATAAGAGCAGTCAGGGTGTAAGTAGAAGAGATAGATTGGGAAGAAGTTAGATGATACATGGATATTTCTAGCTCCGCTAGAAATATGTGAGCCGCCGGGCCACTGGCTACACCTTCGATACAAATAGCCATCGAGCTGCCTTTTACCTACCTAGGTAGGTACTCTCCTCTCTTTACAACCAACCCACTTGACATGGGTTTGACATTAGTGTTGGGCTTCATGTTTTTCTCACCTCAGAGGCAAAAACCTCCGGCCAAATATTAAAAACATAAATAAAAATAACCTACAACAACTCCGATACGGGGAATCGAACCCCGAGCTTCACGGTGAAAGCGTGATGTGTGGACCATTACACCATATCGGATAGTTTGTTAACATTCACACTGTACAGGACTCCAGCTATGATACATTCACTGTTGTTGGATCTGTGGTAGCATTTGGACTAGGTGTATACTCATGAGTAACAATAAAAGATTAATTAGAGATCATCACTGCCATTCTGAAGCTATCTAGAGCTATCTTGTAAATCCTTAAAGTCTGGCTGCAACGCATAGGCATCTTGAAGTTATGCATAGAACACAAGCACCATCTAACCTATTAGGCTCTGAATCAAATGTTTAAGATACGTGAAAAGACTCAAAAGAGACAGCTCCGTCCTATCTCTCGCCCTGGAATTGTGACCTTGGGTTGAAGAGAAGTCGCCGAGGCCATCAGATAGTGAGATTGAAATGGAGCATTACTACCTTGTTCTGATTTGTCTCTTTCGACGGTTGAGTGCACTGTTCGGCTCGCGTTTGTGGTTTAGTTCGAACTAACTCGTGCAGCCTGCCTAACATTTCTACACAATCGACTTCTCCTAACGCAGGCCGATACCTCAAACGTGGTTACTCGATGGCCTTGTTATTGATTGAAATTGATATAGCGTTTTGGTTCGTGTTTTAGTAGTCCGAAAAGTCTGTGTGGCGAAGTAGCTAAGCCTCTATTTCCGGAGGTTGGTTACCTCGTGCTAGCTGTACCTGTCACGGCGGCGCAACGGGGTTTGTCGCCTAAGCTCCCAATATATATCCCGTCTTTCGTTCGTAGCTCTGCTGAATCGGTGCAATATGCAATGTGACTAACCCAGCGACTTTTACCATAGTTAGGATATTCTAGGCGATTGGTCGTGGTCCGGACGAACGCATGGAGTGCGTCTGCTGGTGACATCAGTACTCTAAAATCGCAGGGGTGTAGTTGGATGCAACGTTGGCCTGCCACATGGAGACACTTTGGCTTTTGAGACGTACTGCGAGAGCGTGACATGTCAAGGTAGGGTAGTTGTTCTCATCCAATTATGAAAGAAAAATGAGGGGTTTGAGGAAATGTATCTATAATCTTTCACTGGACACATCCTATAGTAAAGTAAAACTGTTTCATTGTCTTGGGCCAAGATGGTACAGCATCCGCGTATAGTACTTACGTGTAACAACACCCACCTTGGCGATTGAGTTGAGAGTAAGACAAGGGTGAAGATCAGCCCGCAGTGACCAATGAGCCCCCAGATCATCTGCTGAAGATGTCATACCTAATGCCTAATGTTGCGGGCCCGGGTTATACCTAAAGTAGTGGGTGGTGCGAGTACCAAAGCTGAATGCAGCGCTTCTAATCATAGCCGCACATTAAGTTCAGCCATTCCAGAGGTTCCAAAACCGCGGGTTTGACGATTATAAGTACATATGTAGGTAAATGTCATGTGTAGATCCAGGAGGGTGGGTTGACCACACTAAACCAAGAAAGGCTAAAGGCAGCTCCCTAAATGAGATGCTGTGGGCGCCCCACCAATTATCATCTTGTTCCTCGGGAGACGGGCGGGGCCTTCTTACATGGTACGTACACGAGTGAGGGATCTAGGCCTTGGAACAGGATCCTTTGGGAACTGCGACAGGGCACAGGGCAGCAGTGCTCCGCCCCAATGATGATGTAGGTAGCAGCGACAGCAGCCGTTGCTGTCGCCATCTGTTACGTTCAGGTATGTAAGTAGGTCACTTAACCCAGGGTACTGTAGACAGTACCTCAGCAGTAGGTAGCACCAATTCGTGTTCCTCGACTACCTACACACCTAAGATACATCTCTTTCTTCTCCCCAGTCTGGCCATCATGCTGGCTTGCGCTGTCATTTACCGCTGCCTCGACCCGAATAGACTCATTTCATCGACCTGAAGACCGCTGGGGTTGGCTCGTACCCCCCAACCCAGCGACCTACTCACAGTAGAAGCACAACGACCCCGACGGCGACTGACAGCCAACCATTCAGCCGCTGCCACATCTTGGCATAGGTACATACACAGCCAACAACCACCAACCTCTCGGGGCCGCCTGCCGACATAATTTGTATCCCACGATACTTGTTTCAGAGTGTCCCGACCCGTGCACCAGCAACTGGCCTCGTAGCGAACAAGATACTCTGCCCATCATCCCAATCGGGACCATCGTTACCGCGCGTGCTATACCTCCTAGCGATACAGGATATTCTTTAGCCCACGCAAAGTGGCCGCAACTCCAATTTAAGCGCTTGGCTATAATTAGAACCTTCAAGCTATCTCCGGGATTGTAACATAGGAGGGGAATTAGAAGAGGCTGGAGTTTTACTTCTTGAATCGAACTCGGGCCAATTCTCATGGGCTCACAACTATAACACATTGAATTACGACGACCGAGACGAACCGACGTGCGCCAACCCGCCGAGAACAAACACACCCCAGGTAGAGTTCGAAACGGCTAGCTATACAGTTGTTCGATATTTGACGGGAGACGACCAGCGTCGTCGCCGTTGTCGCCCTCCTCTCCCTGCTCCTCCTCCTCCTCCTCCTCGGGACGACGCCTGCCATGGACAACACAGCTCGTGCGCTCGTGGCAGCCCACGAAATATACGCCCGCGCAGATCTCATAGACCCAAACAAGGAAAGTCGGCCCCCAGCCTTCAAGGCCATTGGTATCGGCTTGGCCGTCGGTTCGGGGCTCTTCATCGGCACATCGTTTGTATTGAAGAAGGTCGGCTTGCTCAAGGCCAATGAAAAGTACCAGCAGGCTGCGGGCGAGGGTTACGGCTACCTCAAAAATGCCTTCTGGTGGGGTGGCATGAGCCTGATGATCCTGGGCGAGATCCTCAACTTCGTCGCATACGCCTTTACCGACGCTATTCTGGTCACGTCTCTAGGAGCTATATCTGTTGTTATTGCCACCGTGCTCTCCGCCTTCTTCTTAAAGGAAAGACTTAGCTTGATCGGCAAGGTCGCCTGCTTTCTTTGCATCGTGGGAGCCGTCATCATTGTCCTCAACGCCCCCACGGAATCATCTGTCGCGAACATTCAGGAGATGCAGATGTATGTCATCACACCAGGATTTCTATCGTACGCGGGTGTTATCATTTTGGTGTCTATATTTCTTGCCTTCTGGGCCGGCCCGCGATATGGCAAGAAGAACATGTTTACATACATCTCCATTTGCAGCTGGGTTGGAGCCCTGAGTGTTGTTGCTACCCAGGGCCTAGGTGCAGCGATAGTCGCACAGATCGGCGGCACCCCCCAGTTCAACCAGTGGTTTCTCTACGTACTTTTTGTTTTCATTTTGGCAACACTTGCGACTGAAATTGTCTTCCTCAATGTGAGTTTAGACGAGCCCCTGGCCATGTTACTGCTAACACGGATGTATGTAGAAAGCGCTTAATATCTTTAATGCGGCCATGGTCACACCCACATACTACGTCTATTTCACTAGCACCACAATCATCACATCGGCCGTGTTATTCCGAGGCTTCAAAGGAACCCCAATTCAAATCATCACTGTTGTATTCGGATTCTTAACCATTTGCTCCGGCGTGGTACTGCTACAGCTATCCAAATCAGCTAAAGATGTTCCTGATTCTGCCGTTTTCGCCGGTGATTTGGACCAGATCCAAACCATTGCCGAGCAAGAGCAGCCCGAGACAGAGCCCAAGGCCGATGCCTTACGCGGTACGGCCGCCATCCTACGGCGAATCTCGAATGCTAGGACCAAAATGGAGCACGAGGAATTCAAACGTCTGCATGAAGAGAAAGAAATGGAACGGCTAGCTACGGTCAGCGAAGATGGCCAGTCTCAGCAGTTCGAGTGGGATGGGCTACGACGGAGGAGAACAACTATAAGTAGTACCAGGAGCCGTCCGTTTACAGCCCCCAGTCCCGCTCAGACTCCCCATCCACCTCTAGGTCGAACGCGACTGCTGAGCGATGAGGAGCTGGAAGAGCTGGAAAGGGAGCGGCAGATGTCGCCAGGCGTCCTTTCTAGCATTGCAGGCACTATTCGCCATCGTACGCGCAGTGTTTTGGTACATCGACCCGACCTTCCTCATCAAGAGGGACTCAACAATGATGAATCGGTATATCCAGTTCCACTGACTCGGATCACCGTCCCTAGCCAAAACTACGACGGCGAAGCCAGCGCATACGGCTATGGATTACCAGCCGACTCACACAAAACCGAGTATGGCGGTGCGGCTAGTGTATCATCTAGAACGAGTGATCGTCACATACACTTTACAGAGACGCCGAAACCGGGCGGCAGCAGCACCTCGCTCGTTCCACCGACGCCTCCGCCCCACGGAGAAGAGCATCGCTCAGCACGTCGGCAGTTCTCGTTCCAAAATGTATTCCGTCGGCATCAGGCTGACAGAATACAGGACAACACACTGCCGCCGATGCACGAGCATCCATCCCGCCAAGGAATGAGAGCTCGAGGATACTCGGACCGGGGCGCCATGGTAAAGAACGCGACTGAAGAGGAGAGGTTGGGGCTCGTCACAGGCGACTCACAGTCAATGCCGGCACTGCCGCGGTATGCGGAAAATTCCGACGACTTAAGCGACGATGAGGAGGAGGAGGACGACGACGATCTTTTTTCAGACGAGAAGCGAGCGTCGGGGTATGGTAGAGTCATCACAAGTAGCCCTCCTCGGGGAAGAAGCGATGAGAGCGATAGCAACGTGGCCGGGGAGGCTATGCGGGAGGATAGTCGGAGATGGGACGAGAGCCGGCATCGAAGCAGAGACGGCTCGTCGCGAGACACGCCGCCGCCGCCACAACGACAGTCATATCGTCGCAATGCGCCGTACGGCGGCGACGACGAGGCTTTTCTTTAAGCATAGGGACGATAATGATGAGACACGAGCGATATTTACGTCTGTTTCTTTATCTGGTTTTGAGTAACGATGTACCAATAGCCAGCCGACTATGGGCATGGGTATCACACGGGAGGGGCACCCTGGAGCATTCAGTATGTTGGTATAGACAGAGGCTGGATAAGCATGTTTATGTTTCAATGGAGGCTCAATCGGCACACACTTACACGTGC